AACCTATCCAGGCCAAGAACACATCTGAAATTCTCTATTTATTACGAACTTATATGAAAAAGACACCTCACATTCTTCTGGTCTATCCAACAGAATGAGGCCTGATTAAGTCTACCAAGCAGTAGTTCTGATCACCCACTTCCAAGAAACTTTCAGTTTTCCATAAACTCCAAAGAATGTAAGAGATTGTCAGTCTGTAGTGCTAAGCAAGCTTTCTAGGGAGAAGAATTACCCACAGTTAAACTACAAAAACTATTTAGGTATAGAAAAATACAATTAATATAACTGTCCCAGTGCCCTACAGCCATCTATAAAATGCTAACTGCCCACTTCTTCAGCAGCATCCTGTGCGAAAGATGGTGTCTCTCCCAGCAGTGTCTTCCTAGGTCATACTAAGGCATCAGCCCTGTAATACCATCTCTTCTACTTCTAACCGGAAGGTCTTATATGGTAAAGAGGCCATTCAATTATTACAAAAAACACATTAGTCTGGATGAAAAGTCTTACAAAGCCCCTGTACAGTAGGTGTGCACGTGGCTGTAACTCCTGGAGCCCTCTGGTCCATTAGATTCCAAGGCTTTGGGGGATGTGAGCCTGAGCACAGGGTTCTTTCCCACCCACCTGCAGATCATCAGGAAACTTAGCTCATCAGTGCAAAAGATACCACGAAAATGTCTCCAAGACATGGCAGTGGGTTGAGCGACAGAGGCTTAAAGGCTAAAGCTGCTCTGAGACCTGGCATTCATGTTGGACTGGAAGACAATCTGAATTAGACCTGAAAAGAAGCCATAGATTTCATGTTTTTTGCAGCAGATAAAACTTGGACAGTCTTTAGGGTTTGTGTTGCCTTGTCTGTCCATTTGTTATGTGGTTTCACTGCCAGGGCAGCACTGGGATGTTGGGATGGAAGCAGAAGACAGCACATAAGGATTCATCTAGTAAGTTTGCCCACATGTATTCAAAGCAGACCACGCTGACAGTTCCTCCCACCATATCCTAAAGAATACCTATAGCTTGCCACAAATCCAACCTTTGTCAAGAATGTTTGGTAGGACAACTAACTTGGCTTTGAGCTTGGATGGGGAGGTGCTCTAGCAGAGCAAATTGCATTTCAAAATAAGATATTAAAATAACATAAATGCTAAAGTACTGCTACTTCTACATTATCTTGGCATGAAAAACATCCTTGGTTAACTTCTTTGCCTTCATTGCATTTTAGTCAGGCAGCTAATTCCCTTGAAATATCCATCAAGTGCAATTTAGAATAGGCAGCTGTTTTCATGGAGCAAAATTTTCAAAGGTATGTCCCTTTTTCCAGCTGTGCTTGGTCTTTTGAAGTGACAAAAATCTCTCCAACCCCGTCAAGGGAAATTGGGGTGGTGGGTGGAGACAAGGCTTGGGTTTAAAGAACTTTTAAAGTTTGATATGTGACTAATCTTATTAAATTAAGTTCAGTACTGATGGTAGCTACAATGCAGGACACATGAGCAAGAGAACAGTGCGGAGTGGTTCTGCCACCCATCGTAATTTTGTTTTCTTGAAACAGTTAAAGTGTTTTGTTTCCTGCAGGAAAAAGCGCTATATCTAGCGCTGAGTTTACTGTTTTGTCAGAAGCACTGAGGTTTATAACAACTCCCAGTAATATTGTAACCACAGTTCCCTTTTATCTGCTAACAGAGTATGGCAGGGTTTGACACCTTTTTAGACATGAAAAGACTTTATCTTGTCTCAAGTAACAGTTGCCATTCGTCTCTTTCACCACTATATTTTCCAAGTTTCTTCCTTGACACAAGAGCACAGAGCCAAGCCTGTGCAAAGCCTCAAAGTTAAATAACCTCCTTCACAAATGAGGAAATTACTGTTAACTACCAAAAGATTTATCAAGTTCATCAATTCTATCAATAAAGTGGAAATTAGTTAAAGGAATGAAAATTAAATTTTCCCTTTGTTAAGTACGTTCAGGTATGTTGGCAAGTATTTCAGCAATATTTTCCAAAGAAAAAATAAAGAGGATGTGTAACTTGGTAGCTGGATATATTTCAAGTGAGGAGTGTTTGGAGGGTTTTTTGTTTGTTTGTTTGTTTTTTTAAGCTCTCTATGTATATATTTCATGTAAACAGTATTTATTTTCTGTTCTTGTCGATTCCTCATGGAGCTGAAACAGTGAATTACAATCACAAGAAACACCAAATAAATGTTTGCCTTTGTTAAGCTACGCTGTATGAATTTGCTACATTTAAATAGATGTTTAATACTGTTTATAAATGGAAATTGTGATATTTATACAGCTAAGAGAGAACCTATGGATCTGCCCTATGTCTCTGCAGGAACTATTCAAGCTAGAGGAATGCTGACACCAGGAATCATGGACTAGGTAAAATACTGAGGCTGGTACAGTAATTCTGCAGAAAAACTTTCGGAGAAGCACTTTAAGAACGATCATCCGTTCCTTGCCCCACCTCCACAGCAGGTGTAGTTTTATTACTTCAGATGAAGCACTCTGATAGAGCCTGTTTGGGTTGACCAAGGCAGATGAGAAATGAAAATATATTCAGGGTCATCAGGCTGATGAATCACATTCACTTATACTTATGGCCAGTTTAACATAATCTTTCTTGTAGGACTATTTCCTGCAGAAGAAAGTTCTCTTTGTTACACCCACTCAATTTATTTAAACATTTTCTTCACAAGCTAACCTGAGAGGTTAGCTTTGGCATAGTAAAAACATTTCCAAAGGAAAAAAATCCTTCCCTAATCCTTAGATTGAGTAAATTACAGAAAGATGAGAAATCAATTTCCCTTCTGTAACAAATCACAAGTTTAATTCACGCCACAGCCACCCCCCGTGATAAATGTTCTTGTGTTTATTTGCTCCAATGAGCAGCTACAGCCTAAATGAGAGAGCACATCCTGCACATGCTTGAGCTGTATTTATGAAACCAGATTAATTTATAGCAATATCAGCACCACAGTATCTTTTTTTTCTCTTCTGCAGTCCTTAATGACTTATGATTATATCTCATTTCTGGTTTCCATCATCTGCAAAACATGAACTTGTCATAATTCTGGCACAGTATTTTCAGGGAATCATCCTTTAAAGCAGTCATCCCAGCCAGATTTGGAAATTAAACAAAAAACCCTGCAAAATCCACTCTTGCCCCAAATTCTAAACAAAAACTCCAAAACACAGAAACCCACCCTGTAAGTGAAATTCTATGATCCCTCCAACAAAAGAGCACATTCTCATACACTGGGAGGGAAAAAAAGTAAAGTCATTCTCGTGATGTTGGCATTTTTATTGATGAAAATTCAAACTCTTGATTCCAACTTTCAGTATGCAAAATCAGCAGCAAGAAAAAGAATCATACATAACCAATAACAATGTTTTTCACCCAAAAATGGTCTGATCTCTCCACTACTGACCACTGCATAAGGAATCTCTCCATTTATGGTCCCCAGGTGACTGCTACTTTTATTCTCCTTAGCAATTCTGTTCTTATAGCTACCCTCTCATATCAGTGGGGTGGTTAAGAGTCTCGAGAAGAGAAACATGATCTTCAAATCTGATAATAAATGTCCAGTATTTTGGATTTTTTGCTCATTTCTATAATACATTTCTAATTTGGAAAATCAACTATAAATAAAGCTTTCTCCATTTACCTACAGAAGAAAATAAGAAACTACCATTCTGGCTAGTTACAGATTGTATTATCTATAAACTACCTACTTCTGCCTTAAACACATCTGGAATTTAGCTTCCTAACTTCTAAAAGCTTGGCATTTATGAAGGAAGAATGAACATTTTCATTAAGGCATGGATATTTTAATTTTCTATTGTAAACATTATACCTTGGTAAGAGTGGCCTTTCTTCTTGTTGGTCCATAGAAAAAGTTAAACACTTAAATGCAAGGAAGGAGGCATCTTGTAATAAGCTGTTGAAAACAACTTTTTTTGTGTGTGTATGAACAGAGATTGCTTCTGTATTAAAAAGGAAGGAAGAACATCTTCAAAAATGCAATTGTATTCAAGTTCCCTCTTTAAAAACAAGCATTTACATTATATTAATTCAAAGAATCTGCAATATCATAATTAGATTTTGATTTTCTGTAACTTAACCTTCATTCTAACACAAGTAGAAGTGAGTGTTAGATGGGATTTCATATCTTCTTTGAGAAAAAAATGCTCCAAACTATAAATGTTTGATTAAAGAAGCCATCAAATTTCCTTCAATATTAAGATATGACAGCTACAAAACCTTACATGGTTTATTCCATTCTTTGGAAGATGCACTTAATAAACACAAAGAACAGTTTACTATAGGGACTGGCAGGTATAAATTAAGCTACCCTGCAAGGTACATCTGCTGTGCGTCTCTACCTGGTCTTACAGAGATAATCAACACAACCAACACCCCAGAATTTGAAAATAAATTTTAAAACTAGCAAAATTAAGTTAGTGGAGCAGAATGGAAAATTTAAGTTGGAAAGAGCTGTATCACTTTGTCTTATTAAGAATATCCAACAGCAGCGCAGGCACTATTTTAATAAGTGCGGAGCAGAATGGAAAATTTAAGTTGGAAAGAGGTGTATCACTTTGTCTTGAGAATATCTAACAGCAGCGCAGGCACTATTTTAATAAGTGTTTTTATAAACAGGACTAATAGCTGTACATAAAATCCTCACAATTGGCTGGGAAAAACCCCCTCTTACTTAACCTCCTTGCTCCCTTGTATACTATATCCTGATGTTTATGTATCAAGTTCATAATCTAGTCAAGTCCAGAATAACTGCCACTTGCTTATAATCAGTTATTTGGAACTTTTGCTAATATTTCAGTTTCAAACTTGAGCTCCAGTATGGGGTATTTCACAGCACTTCTTATTTATCAAGACTGTGTCTGCTTAAAATTGATAGAGCATACTGCAGAAACTTTGAGAAAGAACTCTGTAAGAGCTGAAGGTTCAGAGTTAATTGTTATCATAATTTATTTTACGGAGAACTCAATTGATTTTGATTCTTCCTTTTAGTCTTTCAGATAAGGGAAGGGGACTGTCTGCCCATGCGTAAGTCAGAACAGCACTTCTGGCTTGCCGCGTGGGATCAGAACCTGACCTCTCAAACAGTTGCTCTGGACTTTGGGAACAATTAACTTGCCCTAGAGAGGATGGTTCTGGAGACACTTGCAATGAGAAACCATTACCAGCTCTTTTTACATCGGTCTTTTTCTTCTGCCCTTTAATTATAAGGGCAGAGTCACTGTTTGTTCTTTTGCTAGTAACAGTGTTACTCCTTTTCTTTGTAAAACATTTTTTATACTGACCAGGGTTCAGTTGCCTTTTCTGCTGCTCATAAATCTGATTTTTATTCATGTTCCCATCATCACTGTCTTCACTAGAAGAACATCTGTTCTGACACACACTCTTTTTAAAAGTTTGTGTACAAGCTTTTTTAATGTGACAGCCATTTACAACATCTGATGGCTTCTGAGAGACTGGAAGCACTTCACACCCAGAATGCAGTGTCTCTGTTGTTTCCCCACTGAGGGCTAGAGATGTTGAACTGCTTATATTATGGTCTTTTGGCATCATTTCAGCCAGGCTGTCAGCTTTTTTGCACTCATCTTGATAAATGTCTATGCTGCATTCCCTTGCACAGTTTTCTGATAGTACATTTTTACTCTCCTGCACTCGTTTATTTGACTGACACAAGGAAGAGACATAATCAGGATTCAGTGTTCCTTTTGTTTGTTTAAAACATTTAAAAGACTCCAGCTGCATTACATCTTCAGACAACAAAGGCTTTGATGGAATGGAAGTCTTCTTCAGTATTTGCTCACTTAAAGACCACTTCTGAAGTTGTCCCATAGAATCATCTGAAACCAAATCATCCGCACTATCAGAATGGTGATGATCAGGCTGCGCAGCATCAGAATACTCTGAGCTATTTCTTACTGTTTCAAGATCTAGTAGATGTGAGCGTCCTATGTATGTAGTTAAGTCAGCTGCTGGACCATGGGTATCACCCACACAGGCTGGTGAAGCACTGAAGGTTTCTTCCCAATCAATATTGTCCAGTTGTAGCCCAGCTGTTACAGAGGAAGAAGATGATATCCCTGAATTTTTAGTAAATTGTGGTGGCAATATAGAGTCAGGCAACGTATTCTGTAAGAGCAAGTAAGGCAATGCAGGCTGAGGAGGAGCAGCTGCTGATGTTGGCCTTTGAACAGCTGTCAGGCTGGAAGCTGCAGCTAACACTACACCTTTTGATTCAGTACTTCTCTGGTGTATCTCACCTTTTGGGAGAGTTTTTATACCTGACGTGGAATCTTGCACAGGAAGAATTCCACATCTAGATTTTAAATTCATTTGAGACAAAAGATCACTAACTTCATCACAAACATTTGGTAATTTGTTTTCTTTTGGTCTGTCTTTCTTGTCTGGAAAAAAAAAAAAAAGTAAAAATAGTATATAAAAATGGCATATTAACCACAGTTCAGATTTCCTACTGTTAAAACATAAAATGGTAAGATAAAAATCACAGTCCCAGCAAGGTATCATGCCCTGATTTTGACAAAACGTGGTATTGCTCAACAGTGGGAGAAGTATTTGTTGCTTTTGCTTCATATATTCTGGCAAGACCCATAAGCTCATAAGAAATAAGCTTTTGGACTTACTTTTCTGTTTCTTCTTCAGAACTTCAGACTTTTCCATTTGATAAAGGGCAACTACATCAGGATAAGCAGCCTGAAACAAGGACTCCTCTTCTACTGTGACTACAAACAACTCCTCAGGCTCATCTTCTGCATTAACATAATGTTCTAAAAAAATTAATGAATGTACATTAGGCATGTATACACACACATATCAAAGTAGTGAGTAAGAAAAACAAAGAATAAAAGACTTTAGTACAAAGAAGGTGTGTAAAAAGGTCAATAGGACAATGTTTGATTTTAGCTACAATTATTTCTGCCAGTCTCCTGGCACAAACAGGCACACTAAAGGTAGAAGTCTGTCAGCACAGAAAATTTTCTAGCTATTAAACAGTCACAGCTCTGGGTACATAGTGAAATAAGATACGAAGTACAGATTACAGGTCTTATTAACATGTACAAGAAAAAGCACCTGAAAACTTAGACCCTTGCTTTCTAGGTAGATTTTTTTATTTTTTAAAGTATTGCTTTTACTTTCAGGGTATGTGAAATTTGATGCACATTTTCTATTGTTTTCACAGAGCAGTTTCCAATCTCACCCACATTTAATTGCCTTATAATGCTGTCAAATTCTTTTCCTCTTTAAACAATGTATTTCTCTTTTTCTATTAACTGTTTTGTTCCATAATGTACATAGAAAACAGACCAACCTGGTTTTTGCCACTCAATTTCAAAACAAGGAATTCCATTTTTAACACGTGTCTTGACTATCCTGTAAGAACAAAAAGAAGCCCATTAAATGATTTTGTTTAAACAAGAAATGAAAAATTGAAGTTATCTAAAAATATTTCAATACTTTGATTTGTAATGATTCAGAGGAATAAATAATCCTGTAACAGTGAAATTAATACACTTTTTAAAAAATACACTACTTCTCTGTATAAGTTATACAGTAAAGTTTTGGGTCTAGATTTGAGTACTAATGCTTTTTTTTTTGCCTTTTTTTTTTTTAATGATACAGCTCAGAGGAGCATAACAAGAAATCAAAAAGATATTCTGTAATAGACAGCCATAACACAGAATCCTACAAACATCAGTTTGGTATCTTCAACTATGCCACAGAGAAGTCTGTTGCCATAGACATTTGCTGAATGACGAGACAGGGTAATTTTTATCTTTGAGAGTATGAAGGAAGATAAAATAGCAGGGACAGTCAGTCTTTATGACATTTTTCTAAAAACATTATCTACACCCCAGTTTAATAGGTTCCTACGTGTGAAGAGGCTCCTGAAGAATCATTACTGTGTTTTTAAACACTTGTTAACAAAAGGAACCTTCTAGACTATGCTGATCTGTCATTTAAACTCTTGAAATACTAAGAGGTGTTATAATCAGAGAATGTAAACTAATTTATTCCTCAAGGTAAATGCTGGTAATTTATCTAGCCAGTCAATTTAAAAAGCAGTCCCCAGTCTCTCTACTCTTTTTGAACGTTAACACTGACTAGAACAGCTTCTCTGCAAGTAATAATTTAACAGACTGTGACACATCAACCCAGAAGAGATACTACCACATTGCTACTGACTGTCCTTCTCTCCCTCAAAATTAAAGTCTATAAAATCTTGAACAGCATCAAGGAACATGGAAAACTACTAACCTTCTTGCAATACATGAATTTTGGGGGAGGAATTGCGATTTCATTTGGGAAATTAAACCACTGGATACTAAAGTTAAAATAAGCAACAATTCTCTTTACACAGTGAAGCTGATATTTGTCAACAGACACCGCAGATTCTAGAAGTTTATATAAGTCTAAGAAAAGATGAGTTTTTTTAAAAAAAAAACAAAAATCAAAAACCATTGAGGGCTGATAGAATAAGGTTCTAATTCTGGCTCAGAAAAACCCTGAATAACTGAAACCTGGACAGTGGGAAAATATGCTAGGGGAAAGTAGTTACATGCTTATCTTTTTTTGGTTTTTTTTTTCTTTCCTGCATATCCATTTTTAGTAATAGGATACCTGGCCATTCTTATATCCCTAAATGCAGTTAATAACAAAACAATTAAGGGCAGTTAATAACAAAACAAGGGGAAATGGCTTTAAGCTGAAAGAAGGTAGGTTTAGATCAGATATTAAGAAGTTCTTCACTGTGAGGGTGGTCAGACACTGGAACAGGTTGCCCAAGGAAGTTGTGGATGCCCCCTCCCTGGAAGTGTTTTAGGCCAGGTTGGATGAGGCTTTGAGCAACGTGGTCTAGTGGAAGGTGTCCCTGCTGATGGCAGGGGGGTTGGAACTAGATGATCTTTGAGGTCCCTTCCAACCCAAACCATTCTATGATTCTATGCAGCAGTCCTAAATGAAAATGTTTTGAGAAAAACAGTTAGCAGAATAGAATCGTAAGCCAATGATTTCATCAGACACATAGTACAACAGTCAGCAGGTCTGATAAGAAATCAGAGACCATGACTGTATCTGCAGGTGCTCATTTCTAAGTCTAGGCTCTTATTTTGAATCACAGAAGTCAACTGGACTTCTGCTGAGAACCTGAGCAGAGGATCAAACCTGTAATGCTACATCTCATGCACAGATCCAAGGAAACAGAACAGAAAGCAAGCATAGGAAAAAGCACGTGTTGTCAGAGTGAAAGGGAACTGCTGTACGTAGTACTTTGTATAGTGGTAGTATAAGAATCGGAGTACTTATCTAAATTTTTACCTCTATTCAATACAAGCACAAGGCTTGAAATAGAGATGGAAGAAAACTATTATAATTTCATAAAGAAGAAAAAAACCCTATGATTTTCCTCCAGCAGTAGAAGTAAACATATTAAGTTGAGGAAACCAAGGTACATTACCTTATTGCCTGCAACTGTTTCGAATCAGTGTATCCAGATTTTCTCTGGATCATATCATAATGTGTCAATAGCGTTAAAAGTTTCTTACAAGCATAATGTTTGGGCCATTCCATCTTCTCAGAAGCAAATATCTGTTAGTATAAAAAAAAACCACCTCAAATTTTAAAACTTATTCTGTTAGGCATCATGCTTAGATGGCTAGGCAGTAGGGACACAGGACTAAATACTTAAAACATCACGAATGCTTTTACACATTAGTGTAATACCTAATGATATCTCACTGCCAAGGGAGGGAACAATCACCCATAATGGGGCAGATTCATCAGCTGTCA